ATATGCTACCAATAATCAACTTCTGGATGCTCTGTTAAAAATTGACAAGCAAAAAAGATGGGGGGAAAAACACAACCAATTTAAATAACAAGGAAAATCTAACTCCCAAATTTACATACATTGGTAAAGAGACTTGAATCAATGTCCCAAAGCACAGTCCTCAACTAACATTAACGATCTCAAGATCCTTACTTGAAGGCAACGCCCAATTTAGCAGTCAGGCATTGGCATTTTCTTTGCCTTCTTAGGTTTCCTATCTGAAATTGCATTAGCAAAGGCCTCCACAATCCTCTGCTGCGACTCAAGTATCATCTCAGTCCTCTTCAACTCCATCTGCATTCGCATCTGCTCCACCTCACGCGCCATATCCATCTTGACTTTTTCTATTCTCACAAACCCCTCTCCTAATGTCTCTATCGCAGCCACCACCTCGTCCATCCCATTATCCCCTTTCTTCTTCGTGGCAATATCACCTATCCCTTTCCCAATCTCATCCCTACCCATGAACCCATCTCTCGAAAATTTACCAGAAACCCCGTAACCACTAGTGCTAGAATTGAATTTAGGGCGAGGGTTATTAGGGTTTTGACCACCCATCTCATTAAATTTATCATAAACCTTCGGTGCATTATAACCTGCACTTGCCTTACCAGGAATTTTGATCCGAAACCCATTAGTCGTCCCATTACCCATAAGCCCTTGATTACTAAAATTACCTTTCTGATGACTGTAATTATTGTTGAGTGCATCGTTAATGCGTGTGATGCTATTCTTGTTATCCTCTTCTCCTTGCGGCTCGTCATCAGAGGAAGATGGGGAGCGGTTAGGGCCCTTCTCCATGGAGTGCATGCTCTGGAAGTGGACCCACGATGAGGAGATCCGACGGGGGCCACCATATGGAGCGGCACGCTGGATCTCTGAACGGTATCGCTTGCGGAGCTTCTCCATCTTGTGGCGGCATTGGACGGCGGTCTTTGGGATGCTAGACGAGCACCGGTGGGCGATCTCATCAGCAACCTCCTGCCAGTGGGAGGCCCGAAGGTTTCCTCGGCGAAGAGAGTACCATTTGTCCCGGTAAGCGTCAATCAGAGCCACCGTCTCGTCATGTGACCAGCACGGTGGAGGCAGGCGGCGTGAGGAGGAATTGGAGGCGATGGATGGCAGCGCTAGGGTGGCGGTTTGGATATGATCGTTGTAGGGAGATGATGATGACGGCGATAGACTTGTAGCCATGGGTGCCTACGATAAAAGAACCGGTGCACGGTAGAATAGATAAGGCGGCGATTGTGAAAAAGAGTGGTGGTGGGGAGGGTTTGTGGGAGGTGGCGTGACATAATGAAAAACTGAAGGGGGGTGGGGTAGGGTTGTTAAAAGGGGCGGCAGGCGGGGGATGAGTTGGAGATCTAGAAAGATGAGCGGCCACCGCTAAGGAAGGGAATGAGGTGGGGAAGGCTAACGTGCACTGGGGGTGGTAGGGGAAGTTAATGTGCGCACCCACAGAACAATGGGCTGTTTTTTTGTTTGTTTGGAAAAGATTAAAGTTTTACGGCCACCGCCCAACCGTACAAGGTGGCTCATGGCTGTCAATTCACAGTGGGCTTAGGCCTTCCACCGGTGGGCCAATTGAATATGCACCTATCCGCAGTAAATTGATTCCGTCCGGGCTTGCTGCATAAATTTATGGGAAAAATTCATTTATCCTACCTTTACTTTACATTATTTCAAAAATAACAAAACAATTTTTACATTTCAAAAATCAGA